CTGCCACGTCGGAGTGACTCCGTTTTTCCTTTTTTGATGGCTTTTCAGCAGACTCTTTTTTCTGATTCTTGTATTGGTCGATTGTTGATTGAGTTGATTTTTTCCTGTCACCTGGCATTTTGATCAAAGTCTACACAGACAGACACAAAACTGACATTAGCGAGGAGCTACGAGCAGGTTACTCACGTTGTGCCGCCATCTTGACTCTCTTAATTTTCACTTTTTTTTAAACGTTAAGCAACACTTTATATCACCTGTATTGTAGAGTTTTTTTTTTTTTTTTTTTTTTTTTGACTCCACAGTAAGAGACGCGGATACTAACAGTACTATTTGTATCAATATGATAATACAGAAAATAAGAGAACAATAATACGTCTAGACTAAATTATTGAAAACTAACAAACCTGCGAGCAGTGGACTGTTGTGCTAAATTCCTATTAATGTATGCGTGCTATGTTTTTTTTTCCTTTTCTATTATTATAATTAAATAATAAAATTGTAAGTTGTCACTTATAGCGATTTACACATGCCTCTTTTTATTCCCAGGTTGGCCAACTTCCGAAAGCCCTACAATAGAAACGGTTTCTCCACCGAGTATGTTCCTGTACAAGTTAAAATTACAATAATAATTAGGAGTACTTAGAAAATGCAAATGTAAAAAAAAAATACATGTTCTATCGTGCAAGTATATAGCTGTAAACTTAATTTCGTTGAGGAGATGGGTGTTTCCTGATGCTACTCGGTGCTTTGATGCGGGATGGACGTCGTTTGTTTGATGTTATGAACTATTTAGTGAAGGGACATTGATAAGACACGAAGTTTATTAAGGCAAACTGTTCTCAATGGTTGTTCAAGTCCGTTTAATTACATTAGTACAGAAGTTTTGAATGCTGATTGTGTGTTTGTTTTGTTGATTTTTATGAGGCTCTTAATTGTTTATTTGAATGTGTTAAACTTATGTGTTTCACTTCTTCTAACAGACCCTTGCTCTTACAATCCATGTTACAATGGAGGTACATGTGTCCCACAAAGATCTTACTACTGGCCTTATAACTATGTGGACTACAACTGCACATGCCCCTGGGCGAGATACGGGAAGAGATGTGAATATTACGGTATGTAACGCTTCACAATTTATATCATATCACATCATATTTACTTATGCTTTACGCATAATTCGTATGAGAAAGTGCCTCGTGTAAGTTGTCGCCGTCTTATCTAACATCAGTGTCGACAGTGTGACGCATGTAAAGGTAAATAGTGCCAGGAAACCTTTGACAAAACCGTCCCTGAAAAACAACATACCCGAGAACATACCTTTATGCTGATGCAACCCAATGTGTGTCAAATAATATGTATCATTGTTTTCAACTCCAGGGTGGCAAACTACCGAAGGTCCCACAACAGAATCGGTAACACAAAGTATGTACAGGTTTTTTTTTTATATACCTTAGTTATTGGGCGTATCAAATCAATAATATAGACAGCATATTTAACAAAGTGCATATACTCATGACTTTGGTTATGGCATGGATTGTCTTAAAACGGTTTAATAAAATTTTTGTTATTGCAGCCTTCCAATGGCCAGTTCGTTTAGTCGGAGGCTACAGCAACAGAGAGGGACGTGTGGAGGTTTACTACAATGGCCGCTGGGGCACTGTGTGTGATGACGGATTTGGCGATATTGCCGCTAGGGTCATATGCCGCATGCTTGGGTTTGGGTACGGACAATGATAAATATGTTTGCCTATAAACATTATTTTGTACATTGACCTTTCGGTTATATTTGATATGTATTACTACAGGCTTTTGTAAAACGAGAAAATATATACATAAATGCACCTATATTGTCGAGGGTAAGTCGATGCATGTAACTTTTGACATAAGTAGGACATGCAATGAACTACACTTTAGATAAAAAAACATATTCGAAATAGAGCTACATTCTAATTGCAGACGCAGACAGGTTCCCTCATTAATTATGCATCTTTAACCTGCAACCAGAAGAATAAAGAAAATCATAAAATCCCACTGTCAGTGTGAATTACATGACGTTATGCACATACATTGTACGTGTCTTGTTTAATTACATTTTAGCGATCGTTATGCAAAGGCATACCGGTCTGCCTGCTATGGCCAGGGCAATGGGCAGATTTGGCTGGATGATGTCCGTTGCAGTGGAGGAGAACATTCGATATCAGCATGTGGTCACAATAGTTGGGGTAGTCACAACTGTGGACACCATGAAGATGCCGGGGTGTCTTGTGGGTACTCCTACACAAGAAGCTGTCCGGGATCTTCCCAGTACGGTTAGTGCACTTTATCTATCCACGTGGGATGTGGGTTATAAACGCTTTGAATAGCTTTGACTACAATTAATGTTGGCTCGCTGGCACCTTCGTCTTGAAAGACCATTGATTTGCGTTTTGCATTGGATCAGTTGTCCTGATATAACAGCACCAAGTATGGCTGAAAATCCCAATACGGAAGCGGCAGTCTCTGCCACAGTGCAGACACTTAAAGCAAAACTCTGTTCTTCTATTCTGTGCTTGGGAATGGTTAAATATCTTTTCCTCAGCCTTTAATGCCATTTAGCATTCACAAGCAGTGATACCTTTTGACAGAGATTGCTTTCAAGCATTTCTGTTCATAGCACTGTCCTCCCATAACAGCGAGCAAACAAGGCTGGAGTGACCTCTCCATAGACCAAAAACATGTGTAGTACTTTGCGCTATGATTCCCTCTTCACGTTACCGGAAAGGCCCAGTGGACAGAAAATAGCTAATATAGAAGGTTCCAGCACCATCACAGTAGGTTCAACCCAGAGATGACTATAAACTGTGGGAACGTAACTAATGAAGTCACAGGAGGTACTAGTAGATGCAAGTATGTAGTCTTGATGACAAACTATGATGACGTATGAATACTTGTCAAAAAATAAAAAAATTCCAAGTGTGGTGGACCGACTATGGGCAAAAATGCTTGGAAGCAAAATCTATCAAAAGGCATGCCACAAAGGCCAAGCCCTTATTGCCCCTGAAGGTTACAAACCAGTATCCGGCTCTGACGGTTAGGTACGTCTTGATAATGAAGGGAGCGCGTCCCCCCTCCCCCCAACCCCCTGTGCAAGCTGTATCCATGTTTGAGCTACCTGCGGGACCCAAGTTCTTATTTTGTCCTCTAGGGGTATCGCCGTGAAGTCAGCGGGAGTTTGGAATCAGTGTTTCCCTTAACCTAGCTGGGTTGCCAAGGTTCACGAGTCCAACCGGCCAGGATTATTGTTTGGTAGCTGATTTTTTTTTTTTTTTTTGGAATTCACTCAGGCATACTGCTTTCATATGTGCGACATGGTGACCAACGACTGCAGACACCCAAAAGATACCTCCATGTCCTATTTTTCAAACACGTTTGTTGGTTTATGAGAATTATACAATAATATATACACGTAAAGATGGAAATCGCTTTTAGCACGACCTTCTTACAAGAACCTAAAAATACCATCAATTAACTCATATATATCCTTATGATGATGGAGAAAAGTGTTTTATAATGATAAATACTGTAACTGTTATTTAAGAATTCGTATATGACAGGGGAGGTAGTTGTATGTATTTCTATTCCAGACGATGGCATTTGTCCGTTGTACTGCATGATATACTTTTTCAAATGTTCCAAAAA